CTCTTGGACCGCGGCGTCTGCCGCGAGGTCCGCCGCGCCCGCCGCGGCGGCCGCGACCGCGCCCGCTGTTTTGTCGTTGAGCGACCCCTGCGGCCCAGGGTCGCGCCGATCGGCGTACAGCGAGCATGAGACGCGTGCGGGGCAATCTTGTGCAATGTGGGGGCTCAACCAGGGGTCGCGGAGCGCGCAACACGCATGGCCCTCGCAACACTCGTGCACTGCCCCTTGCACCCCGGGCCGGCTCCGGCACCCTTGCAGCCGGAGCGCTGCAGCTCACCGATCTCGACCGCTTGGAGGCCTGTCGCGGCGCCGTGCGCCCCGCCGCGCAGCCCACATGGTGCTTGCCGGGCTTCAGGCCCTTGCCGCACTTGGGGCAGTGCGTGAGCTCCGTGCCGTGGCCGCGCTCCCGGCCGCTGCCGCGCACATCTGGGGGCGCGCGGTAGTGTACCTTGAGGCGCCAGAGCTCCGCAAACGACCTCTTGCACCCGGGGTACGGGCAGTACCACCTGCCACATCACATGGTGGCGCGGAGTGGCGGCGCGCAATGAGGGAGCGGCGCCACCGAGGTGTGCGGCGCAGTGGCCGCGGCGATTGCGGCTAGCCACGGCCGAGCACCAACTGTGGTATTTTGATCCTTGAAGCACGAAACATCCCGCTGCGGGCTGCGTGCATCCTGCCCGGCAAAGTGCAGGGCTCGAAATGCAGGCAAGCCCGTACTGGCTCCGTCCGGCGAAATGCCACCCATAAGTTGCCGTTCAATCGCAATGGGACGGTTTGACCATCATATGGGGGCCCAGGGCGCGTCCCCGACACGGCGAGGCCTCGAGCAACACATGCCCGCCCTCCCGGCAGCCCGCCCGCCAACCTGCTGTTTGAGGGGTCCGCATCAGCCGCTGCCATTTGGCAGCTGGCCGTTGCTGCCTCCAGCCCTCCCTATGCACAGCGACTGGGGCTCGAAAGAGAAGGGGGGGTGCCCGACGCCTTGTTGCACGCAGCCCGCAAGTAAACTAGACCGTGTATTAATTGCGACGTTGCTATTGCCGCGGGACAGGCCCGATTCTGCGGCCCCACCCTGCTGCTCCGGAGTGCGGCAGTCTGGTGCGGACTAGAAGCGTCGATGTTGTTTGTATGAGAAATCGATATGCTGCAATCAGAGCGTCGCGCAGGACGCCCCTGCATCCCTCACGCACCCGCAAGGAACCGCGAAGTCAGACGTCCGTTTGCGCAAACGTCGGCACAGCCGAGGCAACACTTCACCCTGGCCTTCGAGTGCAGCGCATCGGCTGTGTGCGCGGACACTTGCTGTGGATAATTTTTGGCTCGCAGTTAGCAAGGCCGCAGCTAGGGTGGCCAGGATGGCGACGGCTGCCTCACGGTGGAGCGCACGGCGGCTGTCCGGCTGTTTGCAAGGGTGAGTCGTTATTTCGACGCACTTTTTTCAACCCCTTCACCAAGCAGCCACACTTACTGCCGCGCCGTACCCCGCGCACTGGCACTTGCGCGCAGCGCGAGCACGGCCAGCGTCGCAGTGCACACGCCCAGCACGGCGCCGCAGCACACGAGCGTGCCCCTGTCAAACAGGCGCTCCCAAAAAGGCCCCTCGTCCTCTCCGCCGCCGCCCCCGCTCTCGCCGCCGCCGCCCGCGCCCAGGGCAGCCAGCAGCGCCCGCACCTGCGCAGTGCAGGAGGGGAGGGGTCATGGGGGCGGGGAATGGCGCCCCGTGAGCGTCAGACAGGGCGCGTCGAGCGGGGCCACCGCGGCCCCCACCCCGCCTCGCCGGCCCCGCCGCCGCAGACCGCCGCCGCCGCACCTCCTCGCTGTTGTTGCTGGCCGACTCCCAGTCGCCCTCATCATCCTCGTCCTCCTCATCATCTAGCAACCCGTCCTCGTCGAAATCTCCCGCCATCAGGTCCAGATCACACGCCGCAAACGCGGGCGGACCCCTGCGGCCCGCCCCCTGCGCGCAATCAATCTCCTCAATCACCTCGTCCTCCGACGGGCCCTCGCGCCGCCCCTTGGCGCCGCCGCCGCCGCCGCCGCCACCCGCCTGGGCCTCCCCGCTCGACCCCGCCTCGCGCGGCGGAATGGGCAGCTTAGGCACGGCAGC